GTAGCTGCGCTGTGAGGGGTGGGCCAGCTGCTTCTGTCCCCTAAATCTCTCCTCCACCTCCCTAGTCAGGTGATCCCTCCCCAGGCTCTCCAGCGGACGCGCTGGGCCTCAGTTAGCTGAGGATTCAAGGCATCCCGAGAACGCTAGTTGCACGTGAGCGCTGGGACTGAGCATCACCAGATTCAGGTCTGAAGAGGACTTTGCTGACAGGGCCTTGGGGCTCTATGCACCTTGTGGAGCACGTGGTTCACCCCACGGGGTCAATACCAATCGCGTCCCCTCGGTGTGTCTGACGCGCAGCATTGCAGCGCTGCCAGGAAAGCCAGTGGCTACTGCAGTGTTCTTGCTCCTCCCCCCATGTCCAAACTGCACACCCGCCCTCCCATCCTCACTCCGGGAGCCAGGCCCTTTGCCTGTTGGACAGCGCCCTAAAGGCCGGCTGCTTGGGGACATTTGCAGGGGGAGTTGGCCAACTTGGTGCTAAGCAAGTTGGGTGAGCAAGCCCAAGGCGGGACACAGCATGAAGGATACTGCAGGAAAAGCAAGAGACTAGAACATGGAAAAAGTCTGTGGGCAGCAGGCCAGCCAGCCATACCTCCGCTGCCTGCTCTTCCCCATGCACTTGTCTTGCAGCATCCGGCAGCCGGAGGAGCTGGCTCCTGTCCAGCTGGGCACGTCGAGATGTGGGGTGCTCTGCTTTCTGAGAATGGCTGCATTCCAGGCCACGACCCTTGCGGGGCGGCTCTTGTAGTTTGCAGCAGGTAACACAAAACCATCCCATGCCTGACACAGGGTGCCAAAGGCCAGACAGTGCCCCTCCCCCAACCCTTGTGTCTTCAGGTGTGTCCCCCGTGGGATAGAAGAGTGTCTGTGGGTGCCACGTCCAGAGGGATAGGCGGTATGCAAGCCCCCAGCCAGATGCGGCCCAGCTCTGTGTCTTATTCCAGCTCCCTTCCACGCTCAAGCTGGCATGCGTCTGCACATCTCCCTCAGCTTAGTGCCTGGACAGCGGTCACGTCTCTCTGGGGGCTGGGCTCCCCGGTGCAATCTCTGTCCCTGGACTCCAGGGCTTTTTGTCTTTCCTCGTGGATACTTCTTGCCCCTTGCTTAATCCTAGCAACCCAGCAGCAGGCTGTGCGGCCTGGTAGGCCTGCCCCACCTCTCCCCCATCACGCCATCTACAGAAGCCAGCCTGGCTGTATCCATCCAGAGCCTCTTGCTTCAGTTCCCTTCCCCACCAGCACGAGGGGTTTCTGCTTCGCTTCACTCCTGCCTGGGCCCTCTGAGCCAAAGCTCCCAGCCTCCCTGGGTCCTTGTGTCCCAGAAATGCGCCCTGGCCGAGTGACAGGATGTCGGGGGCTCCACTGCTTGAGAAACGTGGCCACGGGAAGATCCCGAAGTGGAGAGGGGTTAAAGGCCAGTGCATGATTTATGGACTTATTTTTATCATTACTGGCGCCACCTGCTGGCCACTGACCTTTGGTGCCGGCTAAGTACGAGACCAGTACCGGGTGGGAGAAGATGGAAATCCATGGACTTTGGACTGTGGGCTTGGGTAAAAGTTTGGCATTAAGAAAACCAAGAACGTGAATGAACATTGGACACATGTCAAGTGCTTGAGCAGTTCCTCGCAGTCCTGGAAGATTAGGGTCTTCCATCTGGATCTCCCCACCCCACCGCCAACTCACACGCTCCACTTTCTCTCTACACATTTGGATGGAAGCTATAATAGAGTGTTAGCAACAATTCTTTGTCTAAGGCAAACAGCTCCGCTAAATAGAGACATGGGGTATCTTCTGGAAATGCTGCATGGCAGGTGGATTTAGAGTTTGGAAGACAAACAAGCGGCCAGTGACCTTTTAAACGTGGATTTCAGAGAGAAAAATGTGATTTAGTGGCTGGTGCATACGATGGCTGCTGGGAGTCCTGTTTCCCTGTCTGCCACAGATTCCCTGGAACAAAAAACAGGACTAGGTAGCACTTTATGTCTGGCCCACGAAAGCTCATCACCTAATAAACCATCTTGTTAGTCTTTAAAGTGTTACCTAGTCCTGTTTTTTGTTTCAGCTAGACTAGACTAACACGGCTACATCTCTATTACAGATTCCCTGGGTCATATTTCTCTGTGCCTCAGTTTCCCCATCTGTGAAATGTGGGCGTGTAGTTCGGATTCAGCGTGGCAAAGAGCTTGGAAGACTATCAGGGCTGAGGATATTCCCCTAGCGTGCTACAAATTACATAATTATCTAAATGCGCCCCACGTAGTGAAGATTAGTAACTGTTTTTCTGTCTTCCAGGAGCTGATTTTCCCCCCTTCCCCAATGAGCTCTGTCACTTTGCTCAATTCCATTCTCGTTCTTGTACTGCCCCATGCGTAGTGGCCCCTGAGCCCTGTCTGCCATCAAGCACAGACTAAAGTCCGTCACTTGAGGTTTCCTCGCTGTTCACCACCCACCAAGAGAGAGCTGTTGCCTGTATTCCTGTCCTCTTTTTGGTGTAAGTCTCTCTGATCTCTCCATCTCTGCTAATAGGCTGGGGGCAGTGCTGAGGGCCGGGGCAGGCTGTGTGCTCAGAGTAATCCTGTTAGGGATGGATTTCCTGATCCTCAGACAATCATTGAGAAGGGGGAAGGCATTGTAACAGAACAGGGCAACGGGGAGCAGCTGGTTAGCATGTCTCTGCCTGGCAGCACTGAGCGCAGGGGTGGGGGCGAGTGGAAAAGAGATGGTGGGAAGTGCAGATCTTTCAGGAGACTTTCTTCCAAAGCAATGATGCTGGTGGCAGGAGACAGCCCTTGACTGATGGCTGTTTGCCTACGGCCTAGGTGCAGAAGGGCTGAGGCCTCAGCCCTGCCGTAGGTGAACAAATCCTGCCGTAGCTAGAGACATGGGTTGGCACCCACCCCAGCGGCCACTGAGTTAGTGCTGGGGGGCTGGGGGCGTCTGTAGCCTGAGAGACACGGAGCTCAGCAAATTCGGCCACGGAGCAGCTCCTGCAGGGGCCTAGGCTGAGACCCAGCGAACTCAGCCCACTCAGCAGCCATGCTGGGCTGTCTTCATGTGCTGCTCTGCAGGCACGGCCCAGCGGGCGGCGGTGGGGGGAGGGGAGAGCTATTCTGTCACCCAGTGTGGATGGGGAGGGGCATGAATAGTGCCCGTTGTCCTTGAACACCTTAACAAAGGCTGCTCTGAGTCGCTTGGCCCGGCTCCAGGGAGCCTTTCTGTGCAGCCGCGCAAGTTCATTCCCAGCTCCAGCGGAGTGAAGAACCGGCCCCTGCGGCCCCCGGTAAAATCTGGGGTCCTCTGAAGCACAACGCGGCTGTGGGGAACCCCCAACAGAGTCTGGGTTGGAGTGACGAGCTGCGTGGACCTCAGCCCCTCCCTGGGGAATGTCTTGGACCATCCCTGTCCCCTGAGTAACCTTGGGAACCGGCCAGAGAACAGGGGGGGGGACTGTTCCAGCCAGACCCATCCCCCATTCTGCTGGTTCCCTCCCCGGCTCTGCAGGCTGCCCTGGCTGCACCTCGAGCAGGCTCTCTCAAGCTCTGGGCCACGAACTGGAAATCGCTTCCTTGTGGGCAGTGCCTGGGCCAGCCTTTCTGCAGCTGCCTCCGGCACAGGCCAGGCGGGACGCCTCACCCGAGGGGCCGTGGCACCGGCAGCCCTGAGCTGCTCATCCTGGCTCGCCTGCCCCGTCCCTCTCTCCCCGCTTCCTTAGGAGGTTCCCCCACAGGCCCTGGACTCTGCAGGGCGCCTGGTGGAGAGTCTGGGCCCCCCGCTGCACAGATGACAGGAAGCAGGCTGGGTGCAGGCTGGCCGGCCCCGTTGGCTAACTGGAACACAGTGGAGCACTGGACACAGCCCCCCATTCTGGGGGGGGGGCTTAGTACTAGCCCCGTTTAAAGAGGGGGCCAGTGAGCTGCAGGTTGGATGGTGACTTGTCCAAGGTCACAGAGCCGGGAGGAGGAGTCCTGGCGCCCAGCCTGCCTCCCTGCACTAGCTACTAGGCTGCACTTCCTTTTCGCTCGATGGTCCATGGGAGGCCTAACAGTGGCCCAAGGAAGGAGAGATTGAAGGAAGAGCGAGGCAAAACCGGGGCTGCATTGAGCCAGAGCCTGCAGTTTATCCCAGGCCCCGTGTAGCCCGAACCCAGGCGGATCCCAGCTGTCTGTCTGGCGTCCTGTCCCTCTGGGTGCATCGCCTGCCCCTTTTCCTGCTACCGGGGAGCCCTTGAGTGACGCTCAGCGGGGCTGCCTGCTTCTCAGGCAACGCCGCCCTTGTGCTCCTCGGCGGCAGGAGGCCAAGCCCAGGCCATAGATAAGCCGGCGCGAGCCAGCCTGCTCCAATCCGATCCCTGGCCTGGTCATCGGCCACGCTCGGAGAGGTCTGGATGGAGACGCTTGCGCCCGCTCTCCTCGCTCGCTGGCCTCCTCCTGCCCTCGCCCACCCCCCATCTCTCCCTCTTCGCTTTTCCCATCCCTTCGGCGGCCCCCGGGCTTCTCCGTCCTGCCTCCCATCGCTCCCGCCTTTCTCTCTCCCGCCCCGCCCCTGGCTTTTCACACCGTTCACCTGCTCCGAGCCACACGCCTCTCGTTCTCTTCACCGGGGGTGGGAACCTTCTCAGGATCCAGGGCCGCTGAAACCCAGGCAAGTAGATTTTGTGTGCTCCCGCCCCACAGCGGGGTAGTGTGGAGGGGCTGGAGAGCCAGCGCAGGCTCCCCTTTGCTGGGGGGGACCCCAAGCCTCAGGGGCCAGATCCAGGCAAGTCGGATGCTGCAGGTGCCCCACTCCTGGTTTAGCCCCAGGCTGGGAGGGCCATACCAGCTCTCTCCCCTGGGAGCGCCTGGCACACCAGCACCACTGGAAGGGCTCTCTGAGCTGCCCTTGGCTTCTCTCCTCCCTGCACTTGTGGCAGCATCAGCTGGAGAGCACATGGGGTCCCTGCAGTCTCTCGGCCTTGGCGTGGCTCAGCAATGGGAGCGGTGCCTTTGCTTTCTCCAGGCTCCGCGCCCTCCGTCAGGAAGCCACCTGGCCCCGCGGCAGCGGCGATGGACGTGGGAGAGGCGGCTGTCCGGAGGGTCTGCGTCAGGTGTTGCCCCTTGCTCCAGCCCACGCGTCCTGCAGGCCGAGGGGGAAGTGGTTGTGTCGAAGGCTCAGCTGGAAGCCTTGGTCAGCAAAGGAGAGAGATGATTGCGGAGGGCACGCCAGACCGTTTCCCTGTGTTTTTGATGCAGCAGGGAGAGGAGACCGAGCCTGGGAGAGATCGAGGAGCCGGCCTCCGGAAACGAGCGGGTGAGAGGAATTGACGCTGGCCCGTGGCCTTTCACTCCCCCAGACTTCTCGGCTCAAGGTGCAGCTGAGTGCCTGTGAGCGGGGCTGTGGCCACGCCTCTGGTCCCAAGGGGATCAGGAGCGCCTGCTTCTCTGAGTCCCAGAGAGATCACGCCTGTGGTGGGCAGGCCCAAATCCAAGAGCTGGGGGAGAGCAGGGCGGCTAGGCCTCGAGGCTGCCTCTCCAGTGCAATAAAACACGTGCAGCACCAAAGCTCCAAGCCCGGGGCCATCTGCTCCAGTTTGTGGGGCGCTGGCCGCCGGGCGTGGACTTGCCAGGCAGGCACTCGGGTTTGGGCTCTCAGCCCCGCCGGACAGGCCGGGCACCAGAGCCTGAGCATGTCTGCACATCGTACGCTTTAACCCCGCAGTCGGAGCCCAAGTCTGTTCACCTGGGAGGTGCTGGGGGGATTTCCGTGCAGTGTGGATGTTCCCTAAGGGCTCCCCTCACTTTGGGGGGGCTACGTGCTGCTCCTCAGGCCTGATGTGCTGGCTCTGCCTCCCCCTAAGTCAGAAGTCTGTCTCGAGGCCTGCTTGTCCCTCCCATTGTCCAGCCTGGGCTGCCTGACCCGGCTCTGAGGGGCGGGGGAAGAAAGTTAATTCAGCCCCTCCCTGCCTCTTTGTACTAAAGTTTGATGGAATACATGGGCCCAAAGAGCCAAAGGTGTTCACGTGACCCATGCGGCTCTGTCTTTGTCCAGCATTAACCAGGTTTAAACCAGGCTCAGGGGTTGGTATGCAAAGACCTGAGCCTGCCTCGGCCCAAGGCAAACGCACCCCTAACAGCCCTTGTATAAAAGTTCCCAAACCGATGGGAAAGTACCGAAAGGCTTGGAAATGTAAAGCATGAAATAAGCCTTTCGCTGCAGTGAGTTTCTAGGAAACTAGGAAACCCTTCCCCCACCCTTGTCTGACAGTCTCTTAGATGGCATCAAATCTGTCCTCTGGGGTCAGCCACACTGCTTGAAATGGCTGAAGCACTGTTACCCCGCTGTTGACGATGGATCTCGGTTTTTAGCGGGCAAAGCCAGACAAACACACACGCACACACCAGGAGGAGAGAGACAAACAGCTAAGCTAGAAACTGTAGCTTGTGTCTCCGAGGTTGCCTTTCATGTTTTAACCTCACTGCTGAAAAATAGGCCCGGCACGTGGTCTTGTCAGCCACTCCAAGACCTGGCAAATTGTACCAGCATCGGGCTGTTTGGGTCACTGCATCTACCTGCTTCTTTCCAGTCACGGACTTGCAGCAGTGTTGAGAAATATATCTATACGAGGCCAGCCAATCCAGGCGCCTATTAGACAGAAAGCAAAAGGAGAGCAGGAGGATAGAGAAGGGAAAGCCAGGACATGCACATGGGGGAGGTGGCAAAGTCTCACATCCCTGGTGATGTTTGGGATTGGCTGGAGGTGGCAATGTCATTTTGTTCCCTTCCTCTAGTCTGGTCAGGATCTCTCTCCTTAGGGCCTGTGATGGGGTAGACTAAGCCCCAACGCCCCCTACAGGAGACCAGGGGCCTTGCCACACCCCATCCCAGCAAGAGGAGCAGAAGAGAGGTCCTCCAGGCAGGATAGAGTGGCTGTCTCTGTGGCAGCCAATCAGGGCCCAGCAGACCACTATAAAAGAAACTGCTGGGCTAGGGCCTGGCAGTTCCTCACAGGAGCTTGACCCTGGGGGGAAGTGGAAGTGGAAGTTGGGGTCTATATACTGACTGGGAAACCAGCAGCACTATGGACAGCTCTGAGTGTGAGCTGAACTTAGACCCAGGTAAGGCCCAGGTCCAGTGACCGAAGACTGGCCATCAGTTTAATACAAGAACCGATAGCACCGTGGACAGGGTTGGTCAGATCCTAGCCTCAGAACTTGAAGATAACCAGACAGGGCAGCATCCAGGGGAAATGACCCTGGGAGCAATGAAAGTACCCGACGGCCAGGCAAAGAGCTGATGTGGCCCCCCTTGGCCACAGAGGGGTGCTCACAAGTGGGTGGACCCTGTTACAGGGCCCCAGAAGGGAGTGGGGTGGTGGCCATGATGGGAAGCGTGTTCCTTTCACTTCCTCTGGGCAGGCAGTAGAGCAGCAGCCCCTGTCCGTTTGTCCATGCATTCCTCCCCAAATCTGAGTGTTAAGGAACCCAAAAGGGGTGATGGGAGGAACAGGCTCCTCCTCCCCTTATTTGGCCCACCAATTAGACCTAATTAACAACTCACCAATTTAGTTCATTGTTTGTTTTTTCAGTCTCATGTTGTTCTTGGTTACCGGCTGTGATCTGAGGATAGTCCCTGAATCAGTCGGCCTTTTGGTTTGGACTAATTCTACCATTCTGTCTTTTTGTGCATGTTCCCACCAACACTTGTAGGTTATTGTGATGTCTTAGAAACGCCTTAAGCCCTGCCTCCCCCGCAGGGTGTCAGAGTCTGACTGTGTCTACAGGATGTTGTCAGGGCCAGTTATACGGCTTCTCTGCTGGACTTTGCTGCTCCTAGATCTGCCCACAGTGGCCTGCCAGTTTGCACCCCCAGGCATCATCTCTGTGCGGGGGCTTTAATTTCCTGTGCACTTGCAACCTCAGTGGGTGATCACTTCTTCTGTTGGCTTTTCCCCTCTTCAGATGGCAGCGAAGAGCTAACTAGCTAATCGAGCCTCAGATTCTCGGGAGCGGGTCTCACTCACTTTCCTGTGCTCTGCTACCTGCTGGGGGAATGAACCGCGACCCTGGTCACTCTCCAGGGCTGCGTCTAGACTGGAAAGCTTTCCGCAAAAGCAGTCAGTTTTGCACAGAAACTTGCCAGCTGTCTACACTGACCGCTTGATTTTGCGCAAAAGCCCTGACGTTCTACTGTCCGAAATCAGTGCTTCTTGCACAAATGCTTTGACATTCCCGTTCGGGCAAAAGCCCTTTTCTGGAAATGTTTTTGCGCAAGAGGGCCAGTGTAGACGCTAAAAACTGCTTTGTGCAAAAAAGCCCCGATGGTGAAAATGGCGAGCGGGACTTTCTTGCGCAAAACCGCGTCTAGATTGGCACGGACGCTTTTCCGCAAAAAATGCTTTTGCGGAAAAGCGTCCATGCCAATCTAGACGCTCTTTTCAGCAAATGCTTTTAACAGAAAACTTTTCCATTAAAAGCATTTGTGGAAAATCATGCCAGTCTAGACGTAGCCCAGATGTTCTGCCAGGCTCTACTTACTGTCCAGATGTTTTGCCCACTAGAGATGTTGGCCGTGATGCAGGAATTTGGTTTTGCAGGTGTGTCTGGGTCTCTCCTGCTCCAGCAGATAGAATTGTGGAGCCTGCGTGGCTCCACAATTAACGTATCCTGCACATCACAGTATCTCCGGCCCAGAGTCAGAGCCCTGGGGATTCATAGGCAGCAGCCCCACAGGCCAGTAAGGGCCTATCTCTGCGCTGACCTGTTTAAAAATGTCTCTCAGCTGGATGCCTGACACCACAGTGGGGCTGGTTTACCCGTGAGTGCTGTGCGTGTCTGTGAGGATCGGGGTCTCTGACGTAGTGGGGGTACCTTGCTTGTTGCTATGCTGGGCAGTGGGCTGTGGGTGACCTCCACTGGCTGCTGGCTGCAGCACGGCCCAGCAGGGCAGGGGATGAGTCATTATGCAAAGGGGGCTCCAAACCTGTCTGACCAGTTATCTCCCAGGGAGCGGAACAATGGGAAGAAGGGGAGTGGAGCCCTGGCTGGGGGCAGGGCTGGAAGAGAGTTTTAGTTTCTGTCTGGGAGCATGGAGGAGACAGCCAAGGGAAAGGGGCTGGAATTTAGGGGCCCAGTCTCCCCCATCTCAAGGGGGGCTGAGGCATCCTGGGCCTGACCTGGAACCAGATTACATCCATGCTGTGCTGCATCCTGGAGAAGCAATAAACACCTCTGTTCTACTGGCTGGTGGAGTCTGTTCGTGCCATTACGGGGGTGCAGGAGATGGGAAAACCCCGACGCGCCGTCACAGGGTCATGCAGGGAGGGGTCAAAGCAGGCAGGGCTTGTGCTGTTGGTTATCTCCAAAGAGCTCCAGGTTTCCGGATGCAGGACCAGCAGTATTTTGTATCGTGGCTGATGATATCTTCTGAGTTAAGTAATGGGAAAGGAAGCAGAGTCTAGAGCACTGCTCACCAACCCGTAGAGCAGCATCTACTGGTAGATCTTGGTGCCTCTGACAGGGGATCCTGACTGATTTGGCTGGGAGGCTGTCGAGTCCAGCACTTCAGCTGACCCTGCCCCCACTGCCCTGCTGCTCCTGCTCAGAGCTGCCCCCGGCGAGCCTCCAGCTTGTTGTGCGAGGTGGGAGAGACAGAGGCAGGGGGGTGCTGATGTTGCTCTGTCCCCCTCTCCTGTACCCCATCTTCACAGGGTGCGGCCTTGGCGAAGGGGTGGGGCAGGGGTATTTGGGTTTGAGGTAGATCCTGGGCTGACAAATTCAAAAAGTGATCGTGTGCTTAAAAAGGTTGGAGACCACTGGTCTAGAGATTAGCATGGGGAACAGAGCTTCTGGCTCCTGAGGTCTGCTGCCCATTCAGCTGCCAGCGTTGGGCAAGTCATGCTCTGAAATGCTAAGGGCCAGATTTTCAAGTTCTCAGCATCCAAAATTGAGGCCAGATTCTCCAAAGAGCTCAGCTTCTACTATGCTGAGCTCTATGGGAAATCTAGCCATTTTATCATGGAGCCTAAACGGGATTTTAGAACTCTGGAAAAACTGGGCCGCTGCCTCAGTTTCCCCAGGTGAAAAAACTGGGAATAAAGCGACTTCTGACAGCCTAATTCCACCATTTTTCAAATCACCTTCCAGATGCTCAGAAGAGAGGTGCTGGAGATTCACAGCGTATCCTGGTTGCCGTCCTAACGAATGAGGTCAGCGCAGTCTCCGTGCAGTCTCTGAGCCGGCTGAGAGCACTGTACTCCTCCTGTGGCACCCGGGTTGGGTTACGTATCGTCCCAGTGAGTAATTGTGTAGGTGGCAGATGTTGCTGTGCTGGGGTTGCTGCATGAGCCCTTGATCTAGATAACATGACACCTCAGTTACAGCAGAGATGGGAAGCATTTACAGTGCAATTAGTGTCACTGAACAGAACATGCCTCAGCTCCACCCCTCTGGTTTCAATGGAGCCTCTTGGTTTACTCATCCAATCAGAGATGCTACAGGTTGCAGCTTGCAACTTGCCAGCAGGACTGTGCAATGCTGTTGCAAGCTGTAGAGGATGGGGAGTAGCCGTGGGCTGCTGTAAGTGTAGCCCCACGGAGCCCAAGTCTGCCTGGCCCTCCTCCTTGGGTACTCATTTGACACCAGCGTGGGTTGTCAGGGTAAAGCATTAAACCCCCTCCCCACTGTTTTGGTCAAAAGGGAGGGCAATGGAGAAAGTTGCCCAATTTACAGCCCTTGCTGTGCGGAGAGTCCCGCTAGAGAGGGGAGAGTGTAAGACCTCACGCGATCCCCCGAATCGCTCATCTCCCCGCTTCCTTGCACACATAGCCGTGTGCTCCGTGGCTGAGCTCGGTGCTGCTTTTATGAAAGGGACATTAGGTTGTTACAAATTGGGGGCTCTGATTCTCCACCCCGTGAGCCCACGGCCAATGAGGAGTCAGTTCTGTGAAGGACGGTTGGCAAGAGCAGCGCAAACCACTCGAAAGGCACCTCTGCGCTGCAGGGAGAAAGCCGAAATAAGCTACGCAAATTGAACAACGTCAATTGCGTAGCTGAATTCGAAATAGCTTAATTCGGCTTTTGGTGCTGTCTGCGCAGCAGGACGTCTGAGGAAGAACACTCTTCCTTCCACTTCCCTTACCCCTCGTACAATGAGGGTTACAGGAGTTGGAGTAAGGAGTCCTTCGGCTGGACGTTATTTCGACGTTCTGTCAAAATAACTGCTTGTAGTGTAGATGCGGACTATGCGCTACTGTGCAGATGTGCCCTAAGTGAAGGGAGAGAGAGGCTCTCGATGACACCTTGTTCCAGCTTTCCCTGTGTTACTGGTAACACCCTATGGGCCAAATTCTAGCTACTCCGAGGCTGTGTCTACACTGGCAAGGTTTTTCCGGAAAATCATGTGGTTTTCCGGGAAAACTTGCCAGCTGTCTACACTGGCCGCTTGAATTTCCGGAAAAGCACTGACGATCTAATGTAAAATCATCAGTGCTTTTCCGGAAAAACTATGCTGCTTCCGTTCGGGCAAAAGTCTTTTTCCGAAAGACTTTTGCCTGAAAGGGCCAGTGTAGACAACACAGTAGTGTTTTCCACACAAAAGCCCCGATCGTGAAAATGGCGATCAGGGCTTTTTAGCGGAAAAGCGCGTCTAGATTGGCCATGGACGCTTTTCCGCAAAAAGCGCTTTTCCGGAAAAGCGTCCTGCCAATCTAGATGCGCTTTTCCGAAAATGCTTTTAACGGAAAACTTTTCCGTTAAAAGCATTTTCAGAAAATCATGCCAGTGTAGATGTAGCCCGAGTGCATATGCAGTGGGGACTGGCAGGAGAGCCTCATGGCGGCTCTAGCATCCTGGTGCACTTGTGCAAAATGCAGCTCGTTGCTTGGGCTGAGCACAAGTGGGGCTGCTGTTGTGCCTCTCCAAGGACGCCTTGAGGGCCATAGCTAGTAATGGGAGTGTAGTGCTGCAGGGAGCACGGGTTCCCCCTTAGCTGTACTCCATGCACTGCCCCCCATGTCCTGTACAGACACGGTCCCCCTCCACCAGTGCTCGAGTGCTCCTCTGGCTCACCCTGTCGCCACCCCTCATGGCTGAGAGCTGTCACAGCCCCTACATGGCACACATATTAAAGCTGAATTCCCCTTTCACCAGGGAGGTTCTATGTTCCTCAGTGTCATGCCACTGATGCCTTCCTTCTTGCTCTCTAAGCTCCCCACCACCCTGTCCTGCTTGGCCAGATCCTCTGGTCTCCTCCATACAAGGCACAGATTTGGGGTTACCACCCCCACACTTCAGTGCTGGGAGGATGCAGTACTAGGGCACATCACCCAGGGTATCAACCTCCCCATAAGTCTTTCTCTTTGTGAAAGTGGTGCACAGACAACTCATCTGGTCAGCCCTCTTTATCAATGAAAGAGAGAGATGCGCACTGGTTGCTTCCCTCGGGGCAACAATTATTTACACTGGGCCTGATAATAGACAAAAGTGTTTTTATTAAGTACAAAAAGTAGGATTTAAGTGGTTGCAAGTGGAAACAGACACAGCGAAGTAAGTTACTAAATTTAAAACAAATAGAAAATGCAGAGCTAGTTCTAATCCTCCAAAACCTGTTATATGCAAATTCTTACCCTAAACAGCTATTCTTATTTCAGGCAAAAGCTTCAAATCAGAATCAAAATCTTTTACTCTGACTTGGGTCTCCAGCCCTTCTGAAGTCTTCAAGTATCCTCCAGGGGTGGGCCAGGCAGTTTCAAAGGCCAGCTGAAGACTACGGGTTTCTTTAGACTTTCCCTCAGACTTTTGTTTGGCATAGCCCCCTACCATGGAAAAAACACTGGGTTCAAAATGGATTCCAGTACCACATCTTCCTAGGACCAGCTACCTAGGACTTACGGGAATAAACCCATTTATACAACTTTAGTGGGCTTTGGATCAGGCCTGGATATACAATGGGTCTGATCCTGCGCCTGCTACAGTTCGTGGGAGTTTTTCTGTTAACTTCAGCGCAGCGAGATGAGGTTAAAAAAACCCATCCTTACCCCTTTACTCACACGAGGAGGAGTTCCACAGCAGGGAATGGGAGTGCTCATGTGAGGAAGGCAGTGGAAGGCTTGATTCTAATGGGAGTTTTTTGTGTGCTTACACATGTGAGCAGGGCTTACAGGATCGGGCCCAGTGGCTGCTCGAATGCAGCTTTCTTCCATTCCCATCCGGAGGCATTTTCGCCTCTTCCCTCGAGCCAGGGGGCAGTGCAGAGGAGAGGGAGACTAAGAGGTGGTTTTGTTAGAAAAGTCCTGGACAAGGTAAAACCGGGTTTATATTACCAACGCTGAATCCGTAGATGAAGTTAGTAAGAATTGCACAAGTCACTTTACTGGTGGGATTGATGACTAACTCCATGCGTTGGAAACTTGCGGCTGGGAAGGAGAGTTGCTAATCTGATTCCATTGACCCTCCCTGCATGAATTACCGTGTCTCTTTTTAAATGCTGCAGGTGGCTTGTTCCGAGACTTGGTGCCAGAGGAGGAGAGGGACGTCAGAAAAGTCGCCCTCGTGAGCCAGCTGCTTCCCTGAGTCAGGAAGGAACAGCTGATCTCCCCGGGAAAGCGAAAGGAGACATGAGTGCGATAGGAAGGACCCAGCACAAGCCACATGCAAACTTGAGCCTGTCTGACCGTTTGCCCTTCGGAAGCTCCGTCAAGGGGCTGCTTTGTTTTTCTGATCACAGCTTTGCTGCATTCACAGCGACACGAAGGGCTGGCTCAGCATTTCCATTTTAAGCACTTGTTTTCCGGGGGCTTGTGTGCGCTGGGGGGAAAAAACCGCACTCAGCCCTAACCCCATCGCTCTCAGGGCTGCCGCATAAGGCAGGCCCCCCTCTACCTGCTGGGAGGTTTGGGGTGGGAGGGACAGCTGTGTAATATTCGGATCTGGTGCATGGGATAGAGTCCTCTGAAACGTGGGATGCGATAGGACACAGTGCCCCTCCCCCAAACAGGGGGACACAGAAATGTGGGCTCAGATCTCCCTGTGGCTCTCGCCCTAAGAGTCACGTCCTAATCTTGCAAACACTGACGGGTGCGAGTAATTTTATGCAAATGCCTGAAATCTGCCCCCGGCAGAGAGCCGGCGTGTTAAGCCCCTGTGAACCTCACACGGGTCCTCTGCATGGGGTGATTTCACCCACGGGGCAGGCCCACTCATTTTGGTGCCTAAGTGTTTGCAGGATCAGGGCCCCAGCTTGCTGTGTGGGGATGGAGGGCTGGGATCCGGACAGTCTGCCACTGCCAGGGTTGTGGCCCCTTGACTCGGGCAAGGCCCCGCAGGCCTCTTCCAGAGCCCCATGAAAGCGGGTGACTTGGGAGATTCCACGCGGAAGGCATGAATGGATGGGTTAAACCAACCCCACCCCAGAAGGGCAAGTCTAATTTTGAAGCCCTAGCATGGGTGGCAAGCCTCACCCCCTCCGCCCCTTCAGCAACCTCCCCCTGTGGAGCTATGCCCTGGCCAACCCCAACCCTGAAGCCTGATCCTTCCTGGCCAGCCGGAGGACTGGGCTGCTGCGGCTCTAGCCCTCCCATGTGGCTGGGGAGCCCAGCTGCTACGCCACAGTCCCAGCCCTCCCAAGGGTCCAGGGAGCATAGGCACTTTGGGGAAGTCAACGTCTTCCCTTGCCTACATCACCGACCGCCCACGAGCCTGCGCTATGCACTGTTGGGTGTGCGGAAACGCCTGGCCAAGCCAATTGCACGGAAGGGAGTAAACGGATCCTATTGAATCTCTCCCTTCATGTGAGCCCAGAACTGGAGCCCAGGTGTTTGCTAAGAATCCTGGCCAGTCACGCTCTCCTCCGTGTAATGCGAAGGGGCAGCTCATCAGCTAGCGTAAATCCGTGCCGCTCTCTCGATGCAAATGCAGCTCCATGCGTGTGCACCGGCCAAGTCTGCTGCCGCCGAATCTATTCTGAGTGTTTTGGTTGTAATCTTAGAAAAAAAAATCCTCGCTTTTTTTTTATTTTTTTTTACTCCTTGTTATTTAAAGATGGTTTAAATTTAACAGTGGCCAGTTGTCAACTGACTCATCCATAATGAACACGGCACGGTTGTGGTGTATTTTGGGTTGTGGGAAAGGCAGGCGCAGGGAAAGGCCAAGTTGTTGAAGTTTAAGTCCTGGTGCGGGGTAACTTTTGTCTTTTCTCCCGAGCTGCTTGACGATACGGACTGTGCTGTTCCTGGGAGGCAGCAGCGACCCCAGGGGAGGCAGAGGCTCCGCAGGGCAGAGGGGGCAGGGAAAGCCCTAGCTTCCGCGTGGCCCCTATCAAAGCCAGGACGCCTTCGTCTGCCCCAACTGGCTGGCCGTCTCGGGGGCTGGGTGCGATCTCAGGCTCCATGCCCAGCTGAGATAAAGGACAGGGCATGGGTATGTTTCTGGTGCTGGGGCCATTGCCACGATGCCAGCCACAGTCCTGGCAGGCTGGCTGTCCTGGCTTGGGGGTTGTGGCGATCTCGGGGGTAGCGTCCTCGTCTCCTTGTCCCTGTGATGGGCTGGGCACACACGCAGGCAGGCAGGTCACTCTCTGTGGGGGCAGGGCTCTGCCGAGATTGCTCCATTGCCCCCTGTAGCTCCATTGGCGTCAGTGGAGTGAGACGGGGCGGAGCGGAGCGCTGGGCGTGCCCATCGGCCAGGAGGGACACAGTGATTTCAGACACTCGCCTGTCCACTCGCCACTCCCCGTGTGCCTTTTGACCGACGCTGGGGAGCTGCACAAGGCATCGCTTGGTGGCCCTGTTGCTGGGCGTGTTGTACCGAGCCTGGCGCGATGGGGGCCGTGGGCCATGATCCGCGCGCTGTGGGACTAGAACGTACACCCCACTGAAGTGCTAGGGAGTAGAACTCAGGTCTCTTGATTCCCAGTCTCCGCGCCCCTGATGGATTTAACTGGGATGTAATTTAGTGCAAAAACCTCCTGCTGGACAGGCAGCAACTCCCCCTGCCCCAATGAAGTAGGCTTGTAATTCTGTGCACGGCGGGGAGATCCCGAGATGCCTTTCCCCCCGACTTCAGTGGGAGCTGCTGGTGCTGCCCTGCTGGTCTCTAGAACTTGCTTGTGAATTACGTGCCGTCCAGCTGACAATTAGACTGGCTCTGCTACCGCGACCTGGGAGCTGCCCTGTAATTGGTGCCCTTCTCGCATGGCTACCAGGGGGGCGTATCTTGGCTAGATCCCAGAAGGGTGTGCAGGAGCCCGGAGGGGTTCCAGCAGAGCCGCGACTGAGAGCTGCCTATCCAAAGGATGCCACATGCCCTATTATCCTCATTTGATCCCAGCTTGGTCCCCAAGCCAGAGAGACAGCGAAAGGACTCTCCCTCCTCTATTTAAATAAACACAGCTACAAATAGAGACAAAGTGTGAAGACAGAAGGGAAGAATCTCATACAATTAACAAATTAGTCTGGAAAAGCAAGGGTGTGAACCGACACCCGTGCTCCAAACTGCCGAACATATTTTCAGTCTCTCGATGAATGATGGCTCCTTCTTTCTGTTGCTTGGCTCTGGAAGCCACATAGCAGGCGCAAGGCTGGCCTGGCTCCATCTATCACCGGCTACTGACATGCCTCCCAGCTCTGGCTGCGTTCGTATACGGGCAATGGGTGGGTTTTAATTTGTCTTAGAATGGGGGCAAACACCTAAGTGAAAGCAGCAGGAGTCGCTGCGGCTTGACGGGAAGGAGTTTTTCTTTGCTGAAATCTGGAGCCTACGACATTGACTCTCAAGTTCTCAAGCTCCTTGTTCCTCCCCTCCTGCTCTTTGCTGCAGGCTTTCCCTTTGGGAATGTGCCTTGGAGCTTTCTGTAACAGGACTGGCCACAGATGCTATGAAGGATGCTCGGAGCACAGGGAGGGCGGGTGCTGGGGGCAGTAACACTCCACCCGCCGTATGCCTACAGCAGAGGTTTTGGGGGCAGAGTGGGGGTGGGGCCATGCCTGGCGGTTTGCCAAGGCAATGCCTTTCCCTGCCTATGATACCCACTGCCGCTGGCTGTCGGCATTATGCCTTCAGAAGCCAGGAACCTGATTTCCCTAAGTACAGAGCATTCATGGGCGGAGTGACTATCATTTGTCCTTCCAGGACCACGATGCGTCCATGGAAGCTGGGTGCCCTGAGCTCACCAGGGGCAGTTTCTGACCCTGTCAAGCAGGCCAACCAGTCACTCCTGCCCCCACAGCCACTGCGCTGTGAGTTAGGGAGACAAGAAACCTTGCGGAGGAAGAGTCACATGGGGCCTGATCTAAAGCCCTGGGAAGTCAATTTCACTTCTTACCTCTGGATTCAGAGCTGAGTCAGACTTTTCTAGGTCTCACTTCTTGCTAGGAAAGCAAATGGCTCAGAGCTTGGGTGAGGGCTGGAGGAAACCTTTGCAAGGTCTCCGCTGGCCTCAGGGTCCCTCTCCCCAGAACTGCCTCTATCCGCTCCTCTAAAAGCCTGATGCTTAATCAGCATCATTAAGGAAGCTACCAAACCAGTGAGTTCCCTACTCCCCAGCCTTGCCCTGTTCCCTTGTGGCTCTCAAACTGCAGTGACAACTCGTTTTAAGGAACGTTCCTATTTCCAGGGACCACAAGAGGCAGGCAATGAAGCTGCAAGGAAGAACATCAGCAATGTAAAAAGCCCGTCTCCAAGTCACCCCTAACTAGCAGGAGCATTGCGAACACAGCTGGGGTTGGGAGCCGGGTCTGGGGTTCAGTTTGTAGGTGTATCCACAAAGTCACATGCTGCTCCCAAGCCAGGCCTGGGCTCTTCATCCTCAGCCACAGCTTGGATCCTCTGTCTCCCAACAGCCCTCTGCTCCGAGGGCCCCCAGACTCCCTCCTAGCTGGGGTAGTCGTCTCAACCCTGTGATGTGTTTTGAGGTAGGTGACTTACTTCAGGGTCCCTGGTCCTCTGAGGGTGGCTCCTCGCTGGCTCAAAAAGTCCCTCTCATCTACCCAGGAAGGTCCCCCATCTCCTCTGCTGCTCCCTTTATGTCCTATTAGTGATTTACTGATATGATGGCAGTGCTGGGCGGGCCCCGCTGTGCAAGGTGCTGTCAATCTCAGTGGGGAGAGATGGTTGCTGCCCTGCAGATCCTACAATCTAATCAGGGCAGACAGCGGGCAGAGCAAAGGAAAGATGCTGTCTCGCTTTTCCACGTAGGGTTGTGAAGGAGACGGCAAAATAGGGTCTGATTTTTCCAAAGGTCTCAGCTCCCTTCTATGCATCAAAATGAATGGTTAGCTACTCCCAAGAGCGCAGCACATTGGCATTCCTTTAAACCTGGCTGTGATGCACCCAAGGTCAAGCAGGAAGCCTGTGGCAGAGGTAAAAACCGAGTCCCTAGGTCACAGTCCACAAGACCTTCTTCTCTTGAATCTGGCTGCCCTCTCCTCTCCCCTCCTCGCCCGATCTTAGTCTCTTCTCCAGAGGTATTTCTACCTCCTCTCTGTCTACCTGAGGTAGCAGAAATACCCCCACACCCAGGATGTCCCTAGTGCAGAGGACCCCCCATTACAACAGCCCGTGTTACAAACGGGGAGCTCTCCCCAGAGGTAGCTGCCCTAGAAGGCCCATTAGGATTGGATCCTGCCAACCAGGGAGGAGCTGCCTCAATATTTCCCTATGGCCTGAGAGGGGTGGGTCTCCTCCTCCTTCCAAGAGCCAGATGGGATGCAGGCCTTGGTTATGCCATAGAGGGGGTGTGGGGAATGTGAGTCAGCCATGC